AGAGAGACCTGGGTTCGGTTCCCGCTAAGGGCATGTACTTCGGTTGCAGTTTGTCCCCGGTCCTGGTTGGGTCCTGCGGGTGGCAGCCACTCGATGTGTCCCTTTCACATCCATGTTTCTCTCTCTCTCTCTCCCTCTCTCTCTCTCTCTCTCTCTCTCTCTCTCTCTCTCTCTCTCTCTCCTCTCCCCCTCCCTCCCTCTCTCCCTCCCACTCTATCTGAACAAAAATTGGAAAAATGTCCTCGGGTGAGGATAAAAAACAAACAAACAAACACCTCAACAGGTAAACAATCTAATTGGCAAATGGGCAAAAGACATGAAAAGACAGTTCACAGGAGAGAATATAAGATGGGCAATAAGCATGTGAAAGTCTGTTTAACATCACTAGCCATTAGGAAAATGAAATTAAAACAACACAATGAGTTGCCCTGGCCGGTTTGGCTCAGCGGTTAGAGTGTTGACCTGTGGTCCAGAGAGACACGGGTTCAGTTCTCGCTAAGGGCATTTGGTTGCAGTTTGTCCCCAGTCCTGGTTGGGTCCTGCGGGTGGCAGCCACTCGATGTGTCCCTTTCTCATCAATGTTTCTCTCTCTCTCTCTTCCTCTCTTTCCCTCCCGCTCTGTCTGAATAAAGAATGGAAAAATGTCCTCGGGTGAGGATTAAAAAAAAAAAACCAACGAGTTAACCCCACATACCTATCAGAATGGCTAAAATAAAAATGTTGCTCTGCCCTGACCAGCATGGCTCAGCAGCAGTTATAGAGTGTTGGCCCGTGGACCCAAGGGTTTTGGATTCGATTCCCCGTCAAGGGCACGTACCTGGGTTGTAGATTCGATTCCCAGCCCTGGTCGGGGTCATGCAGGAGGCAACAAATCAATGTGGATACATCGATACATCAATGTTTCTCTCTCCCTCCCTCCCTTCCACTCTACCTACCAAAAAATCAATGGAAAAATATCCTTGAGTGAGGATTAGCACACACACACACACAAAAAGTTGCTCTGCCACATGCAGAAGAGGATGTGCGGAAACTGGATCTCACGTATACTTTGCTAATGGGAATGTTTTCCAGGGTACAGTTGCCCTGGAAAACAATTTTGTCGTTTTTTTTCATATAGATATAGATATAGATATATACTGGATTTTACACATTTGAAAAATCATCAGAGACCATTTTTCCCAAAGCATTATTGAGATATAATTTACATACCATAAAATGTATACTTCACCCATTTAAGTGTACAAGTCAGTGAATTTGAGTATATTTACAAAGTTGTGCACTAACACTACAAACTAATTTTAGAGCATTTTTATCAGCCTAAATAGAAACTTTATGCTACATTCACTCCTCATTTCCACTCTCAGCCCTTGACAACCACTAATCTACTTTCTACTTGTACACATTTGCCTTTTCTGAACCCTTCACTTAAATGGAATTATCTGATATGTGCTGTTTTGTGTCTAGCTCCTTTCACTTAGCATAACGTTTTCAAGGTGCATCATCATCATGGCTAAAGAGTATTCCACTATATGGATGTATCATATTTGCTTACAGACTTTTTTTTCCTTGTTCATCTAGTTGATGGACTTTGGGTTGTTTCTATTTTTGGCTATCATGAATAATGCTGCTATGAATATTTACATACAAATGTCTGTGTGGATAAATGTTTTTATTTTTTTTCTGGGTAGATACCTAGGATTAGAATTTCTGGATCATATAATAAGTCTATATTTAACTTTTTAAGAAACTACCAGACTGTTTTCCAAAGTGGCGGCACCATTTCATATTCCCACCAGCAATGTATGAGGGCTCCCATTTCTCCACATCTTCGCCAACACTATTGTCTATCTTTTTTATTCTAGACATTCTAGTGGGTGAGTGGTATCTTACGGCTTTTATTTCCATTTGACTAATGATGTTGAGTGTCTTTTCACATACTTACTGGCCATTTGCATATATAATTTGGAGAAATACCTATTCAGATCCTTTGTCTATTAAAAATATTTTTATAGTAGTTTTAGGTTCACAGTAAAACTGAGTGGAAAGTACAGAGACTTCCATATACCCCTTACTCCACCACACACACACTCACAGCCTCCCCGACTATCAACATCCCTCAGTAGTGTGATACATTCGTTACAATCAATGAACCTACACTGACACATCGTTGTCACCCAAAGTCTATCATTTACATTAGTGTTCACTCTGTGGGTTTGGACAAACATATAATGACATGTATCCACCATTACAGTATCATACAGAATAGTTTCACTGCCCTCAAAACCCTCTGTCTGCACCTATTCATCCCTTCCTCCTCCCAGCCTCTGACAACCAATGGTCTTTTCATCGTCTCCTTAGTTTTTCCTTTTCCGGAATGTCATACAGCTGAAATCACACCGTATGTGGCCTTTTCAGATTGTCTTCTTTCACTTAGTTATATCCACTTAAGTTTCCTTCGTGTCTTTTCATGACTTGATAGTTCATTTCCTTCTAGCACTGAAGAATATCCTATTGTCTGCACGTACCACTGTTTATTTATTCATTCACCTCCTAAAGGACTTCTTGGTTGCTTCCAAGTTCTGGCAATTATGAATATAAACATCCATGTGCAGATTTTCTGTGGACATAAGTTTTCAATTGATTGGGTAATACCAAGGAGTGTGATTGCTGGATCATATGTTAAAAGTGTGTTTAGTTTTGTAAGAAACTGCCAGACTGTCTTCCAAAGCAGCTGTATGATTTTGCATTCTCACCAGCCATAAGAGTTCCTGCTACTTCACATCCTCATTAGCATTTGATGTCACCTTTGTTCATTTTTAATTGAGCTGTTTGTCTTTTTATTACTGAGTTGTAAGAGCCTTTCATATATTCTAGATACAAGTCCCTTATGGAATATATGATTTGCAAATATTTTCTCCCAGTTTGTGGGTAGTTTTAGAGGCTTTTTTTGTTTGTTTTCATGAAAAGGAATATTAAACACTAAATTCATGAGTGTTTATACCTAGAGGAAGCAGAAGCATGGACCAGGTTATAATTACACAGGTAGAGATCATATAGGTGCTATGAGCAGTAGAGCACAGACTCTGGAGCCACTGCCTAGGTCTCAACCCAATACTGTCAAATAACTAAGTCTCTGACCGAGTTTTCTCATCTGTAAAATGGGTACAACAATGCTTATCTCAAGGTGTGTGTGTGTATGTATGTATGTAATTCTCACTCGAGGACATTTTTGCATTCATCTTCAGATAGTGCGGGAGGGAGAGAAGGAGGAAGAGAGAGAGAGAAAAACATCCACGAGAGAGAGACACACTGACTGGCTGCCACCCACACGACCCCAACTGGAGCCGGGGACAAACTGCAACCAAGGTACATGCCCTTAGTGGGAACTGAACCCGGGATTCTCTGGTCCATGGACCAACGCTCTAACAGCTGAGCCAAACCGGCCAGGGCTCACAGGTGTGTTTTGAAGTTTAGGCGAGTTAATATGCCTGGAGAACTTAAAAGAGTGGTTACCAGGTACATAGTGTGCCTTATAGAAACCTTCATTGTATTACCATTTCTTAAGTTGGGTACTGGGATTTGAAAGTTTTCATTTTATTATCATGCTTTATCATTCATATATGTTACATACTTTCTTTTATATCACATTCAAATGTACAGATACAATTTTTTTTTAAAGGAGAATACAATCCAAACTTTTAACCCTTTAAAATAGGAAAGACTGGGCTAGATGCAGGGCCATACCTCGTGCTGGTCCGGGGCCCAGAGCTCAGCTCAGCCCGGCCCCTGCTCCTTCCCGACACTCACAAGGTACATGGCAACTGTGCTTTCGGAAAAGACCTGAACTCCAGGCTGGGGGGGCGGGGGACCTAACGTTGCCAGCGACCTAGACCCGGCACGGCCTCAGTTTCCTCACCCGCACAATGGGATGCGAACAGTACCACCTGACCTATGAGATTAAAGAAGGCTAGGTGGCCCGGCCGGCGTGGCTCAGTGGCCGAGCGCAGACCCATGCACCAAGAGGTGGCGGGTTTGATTCCCAGTTGGGGCACATGCCTGGGTCGTGGGCCCAACACCCGGTGCGGGGTGTGCAGGAGGCGGCCGGTCGATGCTCTCTCATGGATGTTTCTATCTCTCTCTCCCTCTCACTTCTTCTCTCTCTAAAGTCAATAAAGGCAAAAAAATTAAAAGAAAAAAAGAAGAAGAAGAAGAAGAAGGCTAGGTAACTACCGAGCGCCCCGCCGGTCACGTCCACCTATTTTTCCCTTCACACTTCTCGGCCCCCGTCGTGCCTGGAGAGCCTCCGCGGGGAACGCCAGGAGAGAAGGAGATGCCCAGAACGGCGCCTCCCAGCTCCTAAATTCTGGGCTGTTTCTCGGAGATCCATAGTTTGCGATGAAAATGTCCTCGTCCAAAATGGGGCTGATGACAGAACCTACCTCCCGAGGCTGTGGAGAAGCGCGGAGAAGCAAAGGCCAGGAAAGAGCTTTCACATCTATACCGCGCGTTGGAAGAGTTGCTGTATGGGGGTAAAAAGTTGCAGAAAGGCCACAGAGGGGCCGCGCCGGCGCCATGGCAGTCCAGGCGCCGTTACTGGCCTCAGCCGTCCCCTGGGAGCCCCGGGAGCCGACCGAGGAAGCTCCGCGAGACCTGCGCGCCAACGGCGCTACCGCACGAGCGCCGCGGGACGCTAAGACCTGGCAGCTCCGCGGCCCGGCGCCAGCTCGCGGCCCAGCCGCCACCCTGGGGCCCGAGCGCCCCCTGGCGGCACGTCGGGCGACTCTCAGGACGTCCAGCCGACCTGCGTGCGTTTCTGCTGAGGAGCGTGAACAGCCTCTGGCGGATTTTCTCCCACCCAGAGAGAGAGGCCTCTCGGCCAATCAGAGAGCCCCAGAGCCGTCTTTCCGCCCACCCGTGGGGTTTAAGGGCGTGGCTTTCAATTTGAGCCAATGAGGAAAGATTTTTGCCCTTTGGCCGCGCTAGCGGGTCGAACGGGGGTGGGGCTGGGAAGTGGTTTCTTTAGCAAGATGGCGGCGAGCGGCCTCCGCCCGGTTGCTGCTGCGGCCAGCACCTCGGTGAAGCCCATTTTCAGTCGGGACATGAACGAGGCGAAGCGGAGGGTGCGCGAGCTCTATCGAGCCTGGTATCGGGAGGTGCCGACCACTGGTGAGAGGCATCGGCGTACGCGGGGCCCCGGAGGCAGCCGGTCAAGGTCACAGCCGCCCTGGCCTCCGATTTCTCTCGGGCCAGGCAGAGGCGACCCCGCGTGTTTCAGGGGAGGAGGGTCACCCGAGCTTTGGTGGATCCGACCTGGCAGCGGCTCCGGGGTCAGACCAGCCGTGTCCAGCATCCGTACCGCGCTCCTAGACGCCTTCGCGCCCCTGTTCCCCTGCAGTTCTTAACGAACCCCTGGGAAGGAGAGCAGGGACTGCCAGTGGCGTATTCATTTGATAGAGGAGGGAACTGAGGCACCGAGAGGCGAAGTGACACGGCCGAAGCCCAGAGCTATCCCGTGATGGATCCGGACCCCAAAATCAACTTCAGCGTTACAGACGCTCCCAGGTTACCTGTGTAACCAAAGTGGCTGGAGGGCTTAGGCGATCAGCAGTGCCCTCCTCTCTCACAAAAAAAGAAACTGAACCGGAGAAGGGAAGGGACTTTCCCAAGGTCATCCTTAAGTCAGTGATGCCTGTTCCCTCCCGTGAGATGTTCTCCACTCCCCCCCTTCAGTCTCCCAAGTCTCGCTCCCTATGTTCTTTCTGCCTGCCCCTAGTAATCTGTAGGAACTCCTCCTCTCCACCCTGCTGGCCTGCCCTCTGCTACACCAGAAGCCCTGCAATCACTTAGATGTCCGAGAACCAGTCTGTTCACTTGATGGATTAAAATATAAGCTGCGGGGTGCAGAGACTGTTTTCTTATCGTGACATCCCCCCTCTGTACCTGATGAAAAGGTTAGGGTAAATCCCATCTAGACTGTCAAGGGCAGTCAGTACACATGTCAGGGACTGGATGTTTTATTTCATTGATTTAATGTGTGTGTGTTTTTAAATTACTTTTATTGATTTGTTTTTGTTACAGATGTTTCTCCTTTTCCCCCCATTGACACTCTCCTCCCCATCCTCCCTGCCCCTTCCCCAGCTTTGTTGTCTATGTCCATTGGTTATGCATACATGCATATCAGTTCTGTGGTTTATCTCTCCCCTCCCCCCCAAACCTCCCTCTTCTGGGGTTTGTCAGTCTGTACCCTACCTCTATGTCTCTGGGTCAATTTTGTTCACCAGTTTGTTTAGTTCATTATATTCCACAAATAAGTGAAATCATGTGATATTTGTCTTTCTCTGCTTGGCTTGTTTCGCTTAGCATAATACTCTCTAGGTCCCTCCATGTTGTTTCAAATGATAAGAGATCTTTCTTTCTAACAGCTGCATAGTACTCCATTATGTACATGTACCACAGCTTTTTTATCCACTCATCTCCTGATGGACACCTGGGTTGTTTCCAGATTTTAGCTATTGTAAATAGTGCTGCTATGAACATAGGGGTACATATACTCTTTCTGATTGGTGTTTCAGGCTTCTTAGGGTATATTCCTAGAAATGGGATCACTGGGTCAAATGTCAATTCAATTAACTTTTGAGGTAACACCATATTGTTTTCCATAGTGGCTGCACCAGTCTGCATTCCCACCAGCAGTGTACTAGAGTCCCCTTTTCTCCACACCCTCGCCAACACGTTTGATGATTTGTTGATGGTGGCCATTCTGACAGGTGTGAGGTGATACCTCATAGTTGTTTTGATTTTATGTGTTTTAATGCAGACCATTGCTGCTAGTCTGAGAGGGAAGGTGTTTAAGCTGGAGCACCATGGTACCCTTCAGGGCTGCTACTTCCCTGCCTGTGTGTGAGGAGTAGAATGTGGTGGTTATTGGATTTGCCTCCAGGCCTTGCCCCCTACTCCTGTGTGACCTTGGACAAGTTATTTCATCTTGCTGTGCCTCAGTTTCCACATCTATAACATGAAGATAATAATAGTATCTTTTTCAGAGAGTTACCATTTTAAATAGGTTAATATATCCAGAGTGCTTAGGATGAGGCCTGGCACTTAGGTCCTCATTAAATGTTGGCTGCTACTGTTGTTTTTATTATTATTATTACCATTGGTATTTATAGGGCTTATCCTAGCAGGAGCCTCCTTGCAGAAATTCTGTAATGTATAGGAACTGTGATTGTTCCACAGTGTCCCTGTCTCAAGCTGACTTTTTTTTTTTTTTTTAATATTTTTTCTTTATTGATTTTAGAGAGAGAGGAAGGGAGAAGGAGAGAGAGATGGAAACATCGATGAGAGAGAACATTGACTGGCCGCCTCTGGGGATCAGGCCCACGACACGTGCCCTGACCGGGAATCGAACCAGCGACCTCTTGGTGCATGGGTTGACACTCAACGACTGGGCCACACTGGCTGGGCTCAAGCTGAGTTTTTGAGAAATTGTTGATGACCAGAACTTATACCTACAGGCTACTAGGGAGGGAGAAACTTGAGTGAACTATTGGTTCAGGGACTGCAAATTCAAATGCCTTCAGAGGACAAGTGGATAATAGGTGTGGGGAATGACAGTAGCAAGTGTGTGTGGAGTATTTAAATTCAGATGTTTCAAAACAGGATGTTTGCCTAGCAGAATACGTCTATGAGTGCCCAGAACCCTTTCTTGTTACAGGGAGGAGCAAGAGGGTAGGGGACAGTTGGAACTGATTTACACTAACGTTTCTCGATAGTAACATTTGTGCTGGACAATTCTTTGTTTTAGGGGGCTGTCCTTTGCATTGTAGGATGTTAGCAACCTCCCTGGCCTTCACCCACTAGATGCCAGTAGCATTCTCCCCCTAATTGTGATGACCCAAAATACAGACAGACAGACATTGCCAAACATGGGTGGCGGAGGGGCAGGGGGATGAATTGCAAAGTCACCACTGGTTTGAGAACCACTGATATAGACCAAAGAACAATTCAGTAAGCTAGAGCTTAGGCTGTTCCTGTTTGCCTTCCTACAGCCTTTCTCACTGGTGGAGGGTTGGGTTCAGGGATTAGGATGAGAGGAAGGAACCTAGAACAAAGCTATGGAATTTGTCTCTGTGAGACAAGGTTCTTAACCTGGGAGGATGGGCATTCAGGGATTGGTGAACAGACATTGTAAGCAAAACTTTGCTTTGTGCGTGGAAGATTTATACATACATTGCCCTGGTGTATGGCTCAGGAGGTCATGAGGAATGGGAGTGATGGACACCGGCTCCTCTGGTATGCCTAGAGGCACCTTGTTGTTTTTTTGCTCCTAAGGTGGGCAGGAATCTAATATAAAAATGCAGGAAAGGGTTATACTGACAGCAGGGGAAGATTCCTCATATTTCTATTCTTCAAAGAGCACCAGTTTGTACATTTTAAAACACAAAGAAACAGTAAACACTGTGGATTCCAGGCCCAAGTTTGCCAGGGACCAGTAGTATGACCTCAGGCAAGTCCCCACAGTGCTCTCTACCTCACTCCCTCCACCCCCACCCCCACCCCAAGTGGTAAGATGCTAAATTCCAGGATCCATATTAGTTTGCATTTGTTTTGGTGTCTTATTGTCCCTTTGTTTGCTGTTTTCTAAAATTCCTAATATGATACAGTAGTATTTTAACAACCAACTCTCTGAAGGGAAACCTTGATTTATAATGTTTACAATTTTTGATGGTGTAAATGCTCCCACCATGGTTGATTTTAAGCTACCAAAGTGAAGTCAGCAGAGGCATCAGATTTGAGGAAAGATGTGTAGAATTGGCTCCTCATGAGAACCTGCTCCAGGGCATCACTGGATGCTGAGTTCTGTCTAGTGTGAGTGATCCTCAGTCCTGTCTGCTGTGTTAACACTTACTGACCTATGAAGCTGGGATGCAGTTCCTCATATTAGATTTCTGCTACTGTGTATTCATTTGTGGCTGGTCCGGAAACATTGTTGTCTTTGCAGCATGGCATAGTACTTCCTCACACAAGCTTTATTTTTCTGTCAGTAAGTTATGAGTATAGTTAAAGATTTAAGCTTTATTATTCATTCAGTCAGTCACTAGCTCTCAATAGTGGTTTTCAGAGCTGGTTGTGACAGTTGTGTAGACTGGAATGGACATGTCACAGGAATGACAACACAAAATACCTCACCAAATGAGCACCTTGCCCTCCTTCCTCTGCCACAATACTCAGCCTCCCCTGAGAGCCTCATTTGTGCTGCACATTCAGCCTGGTTGGGACCCTCTTCTGTCCTATCCCACCTACCACACAAGGCCTTGTTCATGCCCTTGTTATCAGCAGCAAATCCACTGAAGGCTGACTGCCCTGGGACGGGAATACAAATGACTGAAGCCTGATGTTCAAAGGACATCCATATGCCTCATCTGAAGTCCTAAGTCATGGAGTCTGTGCCACTATTTTGGGCACTTATTTAATCAGGGATTGCTGAATATTGTGATTTCATGTTTGTAGTTAAGACTGAGAGAACAGGACCTACATGAAAGACTTCTCTCTCCTTCTCCCAGGAACCTAACATGGTAGTTGCTGGCTGGATTGAAGCCTTCCCTACTTGCACAGTCTCAGCAGTCTCCCTCAACTCAGTTTGTGTAGTGCACAAACCTACAGCACATCATTTTACCTAAACTTCGACCTATTATCTTTTGCCAAGTGTTCCTTATAATAATACTAACACTTAACTGAGGGCATGTTCCATGCAGGCACTGTTCCAAGCATCTCTCACTGTCAGAATCCTCCAACAGCTCTGGAGTTGTATGTGCTATTGTTGTCCTCATTTTACTCATAAATAAGTACACTCAGGCTCAGAGCAGTAAATCGCACAGGATCATATAGCTGACAAGTGACAGAGCTGGAATCTGAACCCAGGTTGTTCACATGCTCGAACTGTGCTACACTGCCCTTCAAACGCAGTGGACTTCTCTCCCCAAACAAAATGTAAGTTCCTTGAGGGCAAGTGCCACGTCTCACTTCTTTACATCCTCAAGCACCGAGCTTGGGGTCAGGCTGATACTTGGTGAATGAAGGGAATGGCCAACCTGTATGTACTTAACGAATATCCATTGACTCAGTTTTTAAAAAACATGTTTTAACCATATAATTTCTATCCTGAACCATGTTTTCTCTTTAGTGAACTTATTCCAGCTAGACATCTCTGTGAAACAGGGACGGGATAAAGTCCGAGAAATGTTCATGAAGAATGCCCACGTCACAGACCCCAGGGTGGTTGATCTTCTGGTCATTAAGGTAACTAACCCTCCCTAACTGATTTAAAAGAACAGCCAGCTTGTCCAGAGCTTTTCAGTCTCCCCAGGTGAACATTTTGTTGCAAGTTTAAAAAGCAGCTGCAGGGGAGGGAGGGGAAGGGGGGTGTCAGTTGGGGGGGAAAGGAGAAACATCTGTAACAAAAATTAATTAATTAAAAATAGATAAATAGATAAATAGATAAATAAATAAATAAATAAATAAATAAATAGCAACTGCTGGCCCAGCCCATGTGGCTCAGTGAATTGAGCAACTTCCCATGAACTGAGAGGTCCCCGTTTGATTCCTGGTCAGGACACATGCCTGGATTGTGGGCTCATCCCCAGTAGGGGACGTGCAGGAGGCATGTTTCTCTCTCATGTCCATGATTTTCTCTCTCTCTCTCTCTCTCTCTCTCCCCCCACCCCTCTCTTTCTGAAGTAAATAAATAAAAAAAAAAAAAAACACAAACAAAAGCAACTGCCGGGTCAGCAACTATTGCCTAGTGTTTCAAAGAAACAGTTGAACTGGAGGTTATCACCTGGTTAAATAGATAATAAGATTGTTCAAGGGAAAAATTCATTGGGGCTTGTATTTTATAACTAAATAAAGATATAGAGATGAAAGTTAGAACTCGTCTTTATCCTCTTCCTTAAAAGTGACTACTTCACCTGGTTGCCAGCTTACAGCTGGAAGAGGGAGGCCGGTTGGCTGGGTCTGGTGTAAATGAGGTCAAATCCTAGCCCTGATTCTGTCTCTGATCAGTCATGAGCATCAATGGGAGGGAGCTTTAGCATGTTAAGCAGAACTATAAGTTAAGCCAGTCAGATTAGGCATCATGTGGCAGGGGCCTACTGACCTGGAAATCTCTCCTTAGACCAGTTAGCCACAGTTAAAGAATATTTGAAAGGCCTCAGAGATCATTTAGTCCAATACCTCAGTTTCCAGATGCAGAAACTGTGGACTAGATAGAGTACATTGCCCAGCCAAGGTCACTCATGGCAGTGCCAGAGCAGAAAACAGAACCCTAGCACCTTCAGTGTTGTATTCCTTTCATTAGACCACTTTGACTGAAGACCTCTCCCCTCACTTGTGCAGGGAAAGATGGAACTGGAGGAAACGATTAAAGTGTGGAAGCAGCGGACACACGTTATGCGGTTCTTCCATGAAACAGAAGCACCAAGGCCAAAGGATTTCCTGTCCAAGTTCTATGTTGGCCATGACCCATGAAGTCATTCAGTGGAAAGGTGCATGTTGATATTTAAATACTTTAGAGTACAAATAAACTCAGTGTATGATGGTCACTTCATGATAGGATTCCATTGGTGAACCAATGGGAAGTTCCATTTCTGCAGCCTCTCCCTTTATGCCTGAACAAGTGGTGCAGGGATATACACACCACCTGTTCGATCCCTTTTCCTGAAGTTTGGGGTTTCTTGTCAATTAGACTGGATTATTTTCAGAGCCTCACATGTTGAAACCATCTCTTCAGAAACTGTCATACTGGATATGAGGTTGAATGACTTCGTTAATTTAGCTATGTTTCTACAGACTCCAGGGTTGGAGAGTTAGCGTCATGGCACAGATTATCCAAAATTAGCCAGGTCTTGCTGCTGGAGAGGGATGAAAGCAGCACGAAGAGTCACAGAAGTAGATAAGCTGGGCGGCTTTTCCCTGGGTTTCTAAGAAATGGGCTGCTCAGAGGCCTAGCCCCTCTATCTGCAACAAGCACAGGTCCTTAAAATGAAATTAACTTCCTACTCAAATAGGCTCCCTGCTGGGGCCACAGATGTTCAGTACACACATGGAGAACAGAAATAGTCCAACTATTTTTACAAATGGGTATAGCTTTAAAGTGACAGAATAAATGTTGAGCCAGGTTAAAGAACTGATCTCTGCTTTGGATAGCAGTCTCCGTTCCTTCCCTGGATAGTCTAAATGCTGGAGAAAGGGGCTCAGTATACAGTCACCTTTAGGATTCCCAAATTTCAGCACCAACAACTCCTTTAAGTAGTTCTAAACGAACAACCAAAGCCCCTGTGATTGATTGGCATATGAAAATTAGCCAGTGTTACTCAACACAAAAAAAGTGAGGGTTTAGTAAGCCTGTGCAGCTTTATTGCAGGAAAACAGACTGTTTCTGTTGGGCTTTTGTAAATAATGAAATAAGTCCCAGGCCCCCATAATTATGGATCCATAAGGACCTGGAGATCCTGGTTTGTAAAGCAAAGGCCTATTAGCGAACAAACAGCAGATAAGAAACTGCAACAGTTAGAGCTTTACTCATATTGAGAAAATCCAGCCATCACTCAGTCATACACAGCTGATGTTTATTCATCATCTGATTATGCTCAGTGGACAGCACATCTCAGGGAACGTCCCAGAGTCTGGGTCAGTGGGGCTGCGATCGTGGACCATGCAGAAGGCTTCACTGGAGTTGAGAGGCTGAGAGCTTTCCCTAGACCCTTTTGCTGATAGGCAAGGAGGAGAGGCTGTAAGCATCACCATTTCTTGATTCCGTTAGGGCTTTCTCTTTCCTGTACTTCCTCCATGACCTGTAAGAAAGGCAAGCAGCAGTGAACTGGGCAGCAGAGCAGGCCTTTATCCACATACTGAAAGAGAATTCCACAGAATGGTTCTACCAAACAGGAGAGAAGCAGTTTTTGTTTTTTTGTGGTAAGTGCCCCTAGTGGGAACCGAACCCGGGACTCTCTGGTCTGCAGTCTGACGCTCAACCACTGAGCCAAATTGGCCAGGGCAAGAGAGACGCAGTTTTGAGTAAATTTGATTATTTATTTGTACATTAACTAAGCATTCACAGACCAGGCACTGGGACCCCAAAGATATAAACATCATATTCCTTACCAGCAAAAAGCTCACAATCTAGTAGAGTTTGGGGTATATGTATGTGTTTAAGCACATAATATTGAGTGTCAACAGAGAGGTACTGGCCAGTCAGAGGAAGGAGCAGTCACTTTCGACTGGAGGAATGTGGGAAGACTTGATCAAAGACAATAAATAAAGAATGGTGGAAATAGAGCAGTGGGACATAGCCTTCCAAGTGGAAGGAACAATGAGCCAATGCTTGGGAGTGAGTAAGAGTGAGTAATTCAAGAAATGGTGAATACTAAGGGATAGGTATGTGGTTGGGAATATGGAAGATGAGGATAGAACAACAGGTGTGACCAGATCATGGCAAGCTTTGAATGCCAGACTAAAGAATCAGGAGGTCCTTATCTATGACAGTAATGCAGCCACACAGCACATATTAGAGCACCAGAAGTCAACACAAGGAAGCTGAATGGGACAGGTACGGGGGAAGGGTTTGTGGGCAGTGACCAGGCTGTGCTGGTGCAGAGCTTGGTAACCACAGCGGTCCGTGGTGAGAATCTAGTTTCTAAATTTTAATGTGGAGCACTGAAATGAAGCTGTTTGTGGTAGATGTGTTAGGCATATTAAATTGTCGAAAAATTCTGGGGTTGAGAATGAGGGTGCATAAAGGGCAAATGAGCCCTGGCCGGTGACTCAGTTGATTGGAGCATCGTCCCATATACCATAAGGTTGCAGGTTCAATTTCCAGTCAGGGCATACACCTAGGTTGCTGTTCGATCCCCAGTCGGGGTGCATACAGGAGGCAACTGATCAATGTTTCTCACATCAATGTTTCTCTCTCTAAAAATCAATAAAAACATCTCCTTGGACGAGGATAATAAATAAATAAAGGTTAAATGTAAAGGCTGGCAGGGGTCCAACCTAGCTGGAAGAGACCCCAGTGATTTTTAAGTCAATAAGATGGTTTCCCTCATCCAGCATAGAAAAAAAGCAAAATAAAAACAGCCAATAAGGGAGTCAATTCATTAAATTGACTTCTGCTTGAGTGTCCAGATGCTGCTTGCCACCAGGCCAATCTGTATCAGTTCAGACTCCACCCCCTTCCTGCACCTGGCACATGTTAAGGGAATAGCAAATCTTACCTGTTAATCATCATCGTCATCATCCTCTGGGACAAAAATGTCATGCTCCTCAAGTAGAGCGGCAAAGTTCTTACTAATGAGCGTCCCAACATAGAGAAAGGGAATCACAATGGAGAACACACGGAGAAGGCCGAAGGACATCTGCAGAGGGTCAGAGTAGTGGCTGTGAGCTCCAGGGCCCACTATGGCAGGAATGCAGAAGGCTTGGCCCTCTCAGGGTCATTCCCTCTTACGGACCCCAGACCCATCATAAGCAACTTGATTTTAAAGTCTTTGGGAAGTCCAGCTGGTGAGGCTCAGTAGATTGAGCATCATCCCATGCACCAAGAGGTCACCAGTTCAAATGCCGGTCAGGGCACATGCCCAGGTTGTGGGCTTGAACCCCACTAGGGGCCACACAGGAGGCAGCCAATCAATATTTCTATCTCTCTCTCTAGAAAAAAATAAAAAGTAAAAACAAAGTCCTTGGGAATATTCAGAGTGAGAAATAATTAGAAGAGATAAAGTGATTTTATGGCCATCAAAGTGAATACTGGAAAAATAAAATAAAGGCACTCTATAGACATCTAAAAATTGGAACACAAGCCCTGGCTCAGTTGGTTGGAACGTTGTCCTGTACACCAAAAGGTTGCGGATTCGATCCTGGTCAGGGCACATGCCTAGGTTACAGGTTCAATCTCTGATAGGGGTATGTATGGAAGGCAACCAATTGATGTTCTCTCTCACATCAATGTTTCTCTGTCTCTCCCTCTCTCTCAAATCGACAAGCATATCCTCGGGTGAGGATTAAAAAATAATATAAAAGTTGGAGCAAAACTTGGTAATTACTTGCAGATATCTATAAACAAACCAGGTGAGAAAGTAGTAAGAGGGCTGGACTAGAAATAAAGTTCAGCTCTACTTGAAGACACTAAATACATGAAAATGGATTACAAAAAGATGTACAATAAAGGGATATTTTATAGAGTTCTTGAAGTAACAGGTTTCCTGGTGACCAAGAAATTTAAATTCACTACATTTAATTTAGAAACGTGTTTTGAAAAGTGAGCATGTCTTTACACTGAAAGACTAGCTTCTTAAGTGGATGGGGGTGTTTCGTAAAATCTCAACATTTCCTCTTGAATTTTCCTATGAAGTTTCAAAAACAATTTTTCAGATATGCCCCACTGTGGACTCTGTACCTTCCAACTTCTGGCTATGAAACAGCCCTGAACTCACTTGTCTGTGTGAACTAGCATAAGCCAGCCTAGCTCTTAAGAATTTTTGTTTTGCCCATATGGTGTGGCACAATGGTCGCGTGTGGACCTATGCGCCAGGAGGTTGCCAGTTTGACTCCCAGTCAGGGCACATGCCCAGGTTGTGGGCTTGATCCCCATAGAGGGCAAGTGGGAAGCAGCTGATGGATGTTACTGTTTCTCCTTCATCGATGTTTCTAACAAAAATCAATTTAAAAAATTAAAAAATAAATATCACTTTTTTTTTTTTTGGTACATGCCCCTAGCGGGAACCGAACCCGGGACTCTTTGGTCTGCAGGCTGATGCTCCAACCGCTGAGCCAAACTGGCCAAGGCTATATATCACTCTTGAAAAAAGGAAATTTTGTTTTGTAACTTCCACACAGTACTGGAATAAAAAAGCAAACCTGTTTTGTATAAGGGACTGTTTACATTTTGCTTAGAAAACCCCCAGGGTACTAAGGGCATGTAAAAGCATTCAGAGGTGGAAAGAAATAGGAGCTGGTGGGGGCTGTACTAGCAGGAAACCCGGATCCCTGAACCAAACTCAGCTACTAGCTTTGACACCATTCTGCCCCCTGCCCCAGCCCTTCTTCATTTGCAAAAACACTGATTGTAATAATCCCCTGCAAACCTCTTAGGACTGCAAATCACACAACTTAAGTACTAGGTCAAAACTCATAAAAAAGGCCTGTCCCACGTACACTTCGTTTTCAAAGTTCTATCATAATTCGTTACTTGATCCCATCAACTTGTACACAGGGCAGAGAGATAAGATTTGTTTACATTGGACGCAGAAAGCCGAGTCTTCTGGCTCTGGAGATCTAAACACTGCGCTCCTAAAAATAGGCTAGGCCAAAATGCCCTCTTTCTCAGTTCTTGCCCTTCCCCGCCCCTTCGGTCTCTATACACCCAGCTCAACACCGGGACCTAACCCGACCACTTCCCATCTGTCAAAATTAGCGCATTAGTACAAAACTTTGTCCTTGATCCGTCTTCCGGTCTAAGGCGGTAGTATGATTGGCCACTGCTCCTATCAATCAAATGCGACCCGTACACATTCCCCACCATGATTGGCCTCGGCACCTTTGCCCCGCCTCCAGCAGACACTCACTTTCACCGGCTTGGGCAAAATGGCGCCGCTGCGAGTAACGATGACTGACCTCGACGGTACCAGGCTCCGCCCTGAGCTACCCCGAACGGCAGAGATATCTCCATCTTTCTTCAAGCTCGGTCTGCTCCGGAGAACCCCAGATCGGACAGGTACTAACAGCAGCCAGCGAGCCGCTCCGGACGCCATCCCGGCATCCGACCCCGGCGACACCCTCCGAAAGAACGCTGTCCCAAGCCTCGCGAGGTTTTCGGGAGCAGAGGAGGCCCAGCCCCACCCTGGCGCAGTGCGCTTTAGTTCCTGTTGCGGAGGGAGGGAGGCATTTGTCACGGGCCAGTCCGACGTCGTGACATCACGAGGACACGCCGCACCCTCAGTTCTTCTCCCTCATTTCAGGCTGGTAGTTGGGGCCGTGAGTTAGGGTCGGCCGTGGGAAGCGTTCAGATTTTTTCATTGTTCCCTACCCAGGACAACCAGAGCTTGGCAGAGCAGCCCTCAGGTGGTTGAAATAAACTGGAGTAACTGAAATGAATAATAAAACACTTAGTGTTGTTTTTTTAAAAATATATTTTATTGATTTTTAGAGAGAGAGAGAAACATCGATGGGCTGCCCCCTGCATGGCCCCACTAGGGATGGAGCCTGCAACCTGGCATGTGCCCTGACTGGGACCTCTCAGTCCACGGGACAGTGTTCAATCCACAGCCACACCGACCCACCAAAACACGTAGTGTTTTAATCGTACAAAAAATACTGTAACAATAAGAAAGATAAAAGCCTGGAGTGCCCATATAAAACAAGGTGCAGTGGGCTGTGGAGCTTCGGTATGAGGCTGGGGAAGGCTGGGAAGGCAGCTCCTCCTCTTTGGAAACAAGGCGGGTAGGAACCAGTCCTGAACCGTGGGCCTGCATTTCAGCCTCCTGGCCTTAAGAGGCTCTGAGCCTCAGAGGCCTCTAGGCCTAGTTGGACCTTGGTCAGGCTGCCCAAGGCCCCAGTAGGAGAAAGAGGGGCTAAGAAGGGACAGACTGTGTATATTGGGGGTGGGGGTGTGCTGCCCAAGCTTTGCGTCTTCCATCTAGCCTTCCATCTAGTGCCTAGCCACTGCCACCATGCCCATGGGGCATCAGTCTAGTCTGGCCTCTGGCTCTACAGAGCCAGCCACTTGGCCTCCCAGAATAATGGAAAAATAAAACACCTGGCCTGCTATTGAAAGTAGCAATGAGGGTGTTGGCAGGTACACACTGATGACAAGCAGGACTGTGAACAAGTTCCCAGGTGGTTTCAGGAGCAGGAACACCTCTTTAGGAGCCCAGGCAGGAGAGACTTTATCACAGGGCACCAGCAATCCTGTGCCCAAGCTCCTAGAATGCTCAGGACTGAGAACCAACATAAAACGGGCTTTCCTTGGGAGCCACACTGCCTGCCCACCTCTTCTTTAGCTTCCCACTTGGCAGCTCAGGAGCTGGCAGCTGTGGACCAAACGCAGCAAGGATGTCTGCTGACATAAAAGATACCAGCCCTTCCTGGGTCAATGTCCAGCACCATCTGCTGCCAGGATAGGCAGGAAGAGGGGGAAGGAGGACGAGGCACAAACACTTTATGAGCAGAATAAATCCTTCTGTATTGGCTGAAGGCCCTCTGCCACCAAAGGGCCCTTCCCAGACTGTAGATGGGGGTCACATGCCCAGTCTTCCCACCACTCGGGGAGAGCTGAGGCCCAGAAACCCCCATGCTATAATAAATCCACTTTCTCTGATACTGTAAGTCTGAAGCCAACACTGCAGCCAACTTCTGGTTTTTAAATGCAAACAAGACTTCCATGTTGGAAATGGTTGAGTCTGGCATGTAGATGAAGGCAAGGTGGCCTATAGGCACATAAAATTCCCTACTTTCTCCATTTCATTAATATCCCCTACGAAAGGGACAGTCTAACACTTGCCTCACTCTGTGACTGCTAAGCAAGCCACCTATGCTCTCTGGTCCTCAGGAAATAAAGGGGTTACAAGTAATGATTCCTCAGTCTTCTGCAGGCATGAGGGTAGATATGGAACTGGAGGAGACCCCTCAGAAAGAGCAACTTTGGAAATGAGTAAACATCAAACTCCTAAAAAGAATTGGCCCTGGTGTCCTGACCAGCAGGATAAGGGCAGAACCCAAAGTGCCCAGGTTCATGGCCTATCCTGTTCCTCACATTTTGGCTGGCTCCCTTGGGCTCTCTGCAGCCACCCCCGCCTCAGCTCCAGGATCTGCTGGCCGTACCAGTCGTGCAGAGTAGAGAAGCAAGAGGTCTCAGGGGACACGGGGCTCTGGCCCCTGCCTAGGAGGAAGCTGGCAGGGCCCTGCAACTCACTTTCAGCCAAGCTCCGCCCGGCAGGCCTGCTGCCCCCTACTTCCACCAAGCCCATAGGGCTGCAATCCCTGGAGAGGGAGTAGCCGTTCTCCAGGCCACGAGACAGCTGGTCAGGAGCCTGGGTCTTACAGCGGCTTTTCCAGGATGAGTGGCGATGCAAAGCCAGGTTCTGGCGGGCATCCTGCAACTGGTTCTCCAGCTCACGCACCACCAGGCGCATGTAGCCAAAGCTTGCCCGGGACAGCGCCTTCACCCAGGCCTCCTGGGCTGCAGGTCCATCAGCAGCCAGCAGGTATGGACGCACACCAGGGGCGTTGAAGCAGATGGTGAAGGCAAACTCCTCAGGCACAGGAGCCTCTGCCAGTTCCACCGTGCAGCCCTCCAGCACCACCAGCCCCAGAGGGGCCCGGCCCTCTCGACTCTCGAAGGAGAACAGCAGGTTGCCCTTGAGGACAAACCAGCACCTTCGGCCAGTGCCACTGGGGTTAGGTGGAGTCCCTGGCACCCCCCAAGTGCGCAGGAAGCCCATGTGGTCTGCTGGGGAGTTGCTCAGAGCATAGTGGGCCACACTTCTCTCGTTCAGCTTCATGGCTCCCATAAGAACTGTGAGGCAAGAGAGGTGGCCTAGGGTCAGAGAGGAAGGCAGCCCCTGTGTCCCTGTGGGGAAAAGTGTGCTGGCTCTGGAGGAGACTTGGGCCCCAGTCCTGTGGCCTCTACTCCCTTGCTGTGTGCCGTGAGGCTTTCAGTGGCTTCATTCATGAAATGAGCTAGTTTTCTCTGTCTTTCTCTCAAAGGGTAGTTGTGAGGGTCATGAAAAACACTGGACATCAGAGGGCTCAGAGAAAAGGATAATGTCATGGTATGAGACCAGGAGGTGTGGCAGGGTTTTGACACAGCTTTTTAAAATCCAAAGTTGCCCTGCCGGTTTGGCTCAGCAGTTGGAGCATTGGCCTGCGGACCAGAGAGTCCTGGGTTTGGTTCCCGCTAGGGGAACATACCAAAAAAAAAAAAAAAAAGAAAGAAAGAAAATCCAAAGTAACAGGCCCCGTAGAGCTGAAATACACCCCAAGTCCACAGAAACCCTTGTGCTTAAACCATCCTCTAATCTGGGGGCCCCTTAGTGTCAACCCTAAGGTCAAACCTCCAGGGCATGACACTCCTGACTCATGAAAAACTGAAGCCCAGAGCAGTGAAGGTGAACTCCACAAAATCACATGACCAATAGAAGCAGAGTTTGGTGTCCTGATTCCCTCACACCTTCTGGGGGCAAGTTTTGGCAATGACCCACTTACCAGCAGAGCTTCCTAGGCAGAGGCAGGGGCCTTTCTTGTCTGGCCACAAGGCTCAACCACTTGACCACGTGATTTCCAGTGCACCTGCAAAGTATTTATCAAACCCAGTCAGCCTATCCTAAAGGATGAGAACTCTTAACTTTGGGGCCCAGTGAAACCACCACCTCCTCCAGGAAGCCTTCCCAGACCCCTGGTAATTCCCTACCAACCCACCTACCCAGGCCAGGCTGCTAGGAGCAATTTAAGTGGCTCTGTCCTATTGTCTTAACCTTCACTATTCAGACCTGTTCCTTGCCCTCTGAGGCTAGGTCAGAGTTAAGTGCCTTCATAGCTTCCGGTTTTTCCCTTCTAGCACTTGTCATATGGTTTATTTGTGGGCTTTAATTTAAATCAACTAACCTGGCCCTGACCGGTAGCTTGGTGGTTAGTGCGTCGGCCTGAGGACCAATGAGTCGCAGGTTTGATTCTGGTGAAGGGAATGTACCTTGACTGAGGTTTGTCCCTGGCCCTGGTCAAGATTGTGCAGGAGGCAGCCAGTCCACATGTCTTTCTCACATCAATGTTTCTCTGTTTCTCTCTCTCTTATCCTCCCCACCCACGCACACCCACACTCTATCTGAAGATAAATAAAAAAATGTCCTCCGGTGAGGATTACAACAGCAGCAAAATCAGCTCATCTGAGATGCCTGCCCCGATCACATTTTCTGAGATGCTCCTGACCACCAAGTGGTCTGACCCAAGATGACCCAACCACAGCCCCCTTGTTTTCATTTCTTTCATCCCACAAAGACCTCCCTTGTGTTCACAATGCTGTCCCCTGCCCCAGAGTGTCTAGACAGGGACTTGGCTTGGCTCCAGGGGTAATCCCAGTATCTGGGCTCCGGGCGGCCCTCAGGAAGTATTTGTTGAAGTAACTGGGAATACTACCAACAGTGGGCAAAACAAAGGCCCTCCCTCCTGCAGCCTTCATTCCCCTGGGGGAGGAGACACACACTGAAAACAGACAAAAATAAATAATAATGTATGAATTAAAAATAATTGAATACTAAATAACGTAAGGACTGGTCATGATAAGGACTGTGAGAGAAATAAGCAGGGTCCCGGGAAGTGGGGTGGGGCCGTTCTAGAAGGGGGGTCCGGGAGTTGGAGATCACAGAAGTTTGCTGGAAAAGTGGTCCCACCTGGGCCCTGGGCCCAGCACCCGAGGCGCAGGGATGGGGTCGGGAGCCCACGGATCTGCCCCCCTTTTCCCGCCGAGTGCCTGGGGATGCGTGCTCCCCTAAAACCCGCCCAGGATTGCGAGGCCGGACCAAACACTCGGGGGAGACGGCTGCACCACGTTTTTCCGGATTCTTTTGTTGGAGGAGCAGCTGGGGCGATACCGACCGGCCGGTGGCCACCGCGGTGAGCCCTGAAACAGGGGTCGCTTCCCTGGAAACGCCCCGGCGCACGCCTGAGCTCGGGCGCCGCTGCGCTCCCGGGCTCCCGGCCCGCGCCAAGGGCTGTGCCGCCACGTCCCCGCGGGCCACACCTTCCCGGGGCCGCCTCCTCCCGGAGCCCGTCGGGCCCTCTCACCTCCGCGCGGCCGAGCGCGCCGAAGCCCAGGAGGGGGCTCGCGGGCTGGCCCGAGGCGGCTTCCCGGGACGATCCGGTCTGCGGACCCTACGCTTCCGCGGGGCAGCGAACTTGGCTGCGGGAGCCTGGAGACCCGCCTGGGCAGCGCGAGTTGCTGCCCCCACCTTCCAGATGCCCCTCGATCCTCCCGGGAAGGAAACTGAGGCCCGAGAGGCCGGGACCTGCCTGAGGCACAGAGCTGGGCAGTGGCGGGCGGCCACGAACCCAGGGCCCCACCTCTGGCCGTCCTTGGTCTTCAGACTTGTCCACTCCTCTCTTCCACCCCCACCCTCCCGCCCCGAGGGCTCGGAGTCCTCTAGCCCACTCCAGCACCTTCCCCCTGCCCCGCCCACTTCTCTGCTCCGCAGAGCCTGGAAGGCCCGGCCGGCCTCCTCTGGGCGGGCTCCTACTCAGCCCGCAAGGCCCGGCCCAGCTTCCTGGCCACTCAGCTGGGCCGCTGGAGCCGCCAGATCTCTGCTTCGCGATAGTTTATTTCTGCTTGTGCCACTCCCAATGGCCTGCAACTCACCTGCCACCCCCAGGCTCTGCCTGGGCCCTGCCCAACGGATAGGCCTGTGTTGTGTTAGCTTAATATGATTTCAAATCCACTTGCTTATGACTTCAGTGAAGTTTTTTTAATCCACTTGTTTATGACCCAAAAAAGTTGCTTTGCTATGAGTATGAAGGCAGTCGTGCCAGGACGTCATCATTCTACATCTGTTGTTGATAAGCAGTCAGCAGCCCAGCCACTGACGGGCCCTGCTGGGGGCTTATCCTTAAGGGCCTATGAAGCAGCAACTATGACAAGGGGACATTTACTGTGAATACTGAGAGTGTAATGACTATTTGACAGTTTCAGTTTGGGCAAGGCGGCTCTTCTGTAACTTAAACACTCTCCAAAGACCCTCGAGACATTTGCTCCTACCAGTGGCCAAGGCGACCTTTTGGTGGTGGGGGAAGGGTTGTGGCGTTAAACCTTGCAGCGTTCTCAGAAGCGTTAATCCTCAGAGCAGCCCAGCCCACCTGGCCAACCCTGGCCTTTTGGTTCCTTAGCAACAGTGCACTAGCAACAGGGGACTTTTACTCTGGCAACTGGAAATCAGCTTTTTGGTTGGTCGCTGACTCGGTCCAGAGTGCTTTCTCATAGAAAAAAGCACACCTCATTTTACATTTTGACAGTATTCCTTCACCTCCACTTGCCTAGAACAATAGTGTGATTAATCTGTCATTTTTGTTTGAAGTTTGTCTTATTAAGAGATATGCTATTGGCTTGTGAAATTATTCTAATTTCCACAATGAACCTGTGCTAAATAAATTGTTGGCAAAGACAGAATCAGTCTCCGAGTATAACGTTTGCTGCCCACTCACACGCCAAAATGCAGGAGGCTAGGGTGTCCCTACAGCTCTGGAAGGCGATGAGCTCAAACCATCTGTCTACAAACTTGTTGGTTCCCACTCAGAGCTTTCCCCTTGCAGTTCCTACAGCCCAGAATGCTCTTCCTTCTCATCCCCACCCCTCAGCTTTAACTGTTCAGGGCTCCTTCACATCAATTAGGTCTCAGCTCAGATGTCTTCTCCCTAACCGTGCATGTAAAGAAGCCCATGTGGAGGAGAAAGAAACCCTCCTCTACCCTTCCAGGTTCTCTCTTCTGGTCAAATAAATCAACATGAGAAAGATTAACAAGAGAAAATCAAATTTAATTACATTCATAAGTACAGGAAGCCCACATACATGAGAGAGTTAGAGATCCCACACACACAGAGATTAAGAGACAAAAAGGTAAAATACGGTGTATACTGAAAATAGACAGCGAATGGGTCAGGGCTGCCTGTCACTACTTGAGCCAATTAAGCAGAGTCAAGGTTGAATCACATATGAATGTTTATTCCAATATTGCTGGCAGTATGGGAGAGCAGTGGTCATCCCTGAAAAATCTGCCCTCTACTCCCTCAATAACAGTTGCTTATATTGGGTAGCTATCTGCGGAAGGGCAGGTAGGCAAAAAGGAATAACAATGGTAAATGGTTATAGATTACAGACATGAGGAAGTAATGTGGGCTAGGGGCTACAAAGTGTTGTCTTCAGTGCACGCCTCCAGGGCTCCAAGGTTTTTAGTCTTTAATGATGAGGGCAGAAGAATGGACAGCTTTCCTGAGGTAAACTCCCAGGGCATACAAGTCCCAGCCAGGTCAGAACAGGTTTCTTTAATCAGAACAAGTCAACCACGATTAACAGAGCAAGAATGTTTAGCATTTCTTATATGATTATGATTAGTTCCCTATTATTCTCTCTCGCCCCTTTCTCCATATGACATTCTGAGCTAAGGAATGTGATAAGAGGCCTGGCTTCAGAGGCGAGGAGATCAGTAAGAATTCACAGATTATAAAAAGAGCAGGTGTTCAGTAATTTGATGTTTGCACTCCCATATAGACAGGCCACAAAATGTTATCTCTGGTAATAACTCTTATTATGTGCAAGGCCCCTAATCTAAATTCTTTTAGGTAGTTGTGGGGCCAGCGCAGAAGTTTCTCCTGAGCCCACAGGGTTTGCCTTGCCTTCAAAATAATCCACATGCCAAAGCAGCACATTTTAGGAAGGCCTGTTCTGAACCCTTTCACCTTCCCTCAAGTCTATCACATTCCTGGGTTGTATGTTCCTTATAGCACTAACCACGAAAGAAAACTTGCCTACACTCATGCTTTTACTTCTTGTGTATTATCTGTCTCTCTCACTAAATTTTATTCAATTAATAATATAAATAAAAATAAATGTGTTAGATGATAGTACTCAGTGTGGAAAATACAGAGCAGGGTAAGGGAGATTGGAAATGGTGGGAGAAGGGAGGTTGACTTTTTTTTTTTTTTTTTATCCTCACCCGAGGATATTTTTCCATTTTTTGTACAGATAGAGTGGGAGGGAGAGAGAGAGAGAAACATCGACGTGAAGGGACACATCGAGTGGCTGCCACCCGCATGACCAACCAGGGCCAGGGACAAACTGCAAACCGAAGTACGTGCCCTTAGCGGGAACCGAACCCGGGTCTCTCCGGACCGCAGGCCGACGCTCTAACCGCTGAGCCAAACTGGCCAGGGCGGGAGGTTGACTTTTAAATAGGATCATCACGGTAGGCTTCATTGAGAAGGTGACCGCTGAGAAATGCTTGAAGGAAACGGAGCCAGTCATGCCAGTATCTGGAGGAAGAGCAATTCCAGGCAGAGGGAGCAGAGTACAGTGGCTAGGAGGCCTGTTGTGTTTGAGGAACTGCAAGGAGGCCCTTGTGGCTGGGCAGCCCTGAAGTGGCAGCAGTAGGAAATTGAGTCAGAATGTGTGGGTGGGGCTTTGTAAATCTGTGAGGGCTGTTACTCCATATTGAGATGGACAGATAGCACAGGGTCTGGAGTAAGTTATATTTTGAAAGATTAGTCAGGCTGCTGTGGAGAGAATAAATGTGGTTGGAAAGGTAAACTGCGGCACTAATCCAGGCAAGATGTGATGGGGCTGGGAGAGGGGGAAGTGTCCAGACTCAGAATGCCTTCTGAAGGTAGAGAACACAGGATTTGCCAAGAGGCAGTGTGGGAGTGAGGGGACACGGAGGCAAGGAGGACTCCGAAGTTTTGACTTGAGCACCTAGAAGGACAGTTGCCATTACCTGAGATATGGAAGGTGGCAGGTGTTTGGTTTGGGGGCCATTATGTTAGAGATGCCCGTGATCATCCAAGTGAAGTGGCCAAGAATGAAGTGTTTGGCATTAGTAGTTGGTCAATAAAATTCTGACCAATGAAATTGGGGAGAAACATGCCCAGTGGCTGGGCAAACATAACAGGTGGCTGCAGTGTCAGGTAGGAATGGAAAGCCTCCTGGCTTGGCAAGAGCTGTGCCCTCCACCTGGTTTGCTTTCCCCCAACTCATTCTCCTCCCAAACCCATCATCTTCCGCTACCGGTTTTGAGAAGCTTACTACGGACCACGCTTCAGGGCATCCTCTCATTTTTTTTTTTTTTTTATACTTCCCCTTAGCGGGAACCGAACCAGGGACTCTGGTCCGCTGGCTCAGCTCCAACCGCTGAGCCAAACGGGCCAGGGCTCATTTCCTCTTAACAAAGCCCTTAGCAGGTACTCACGCCATAGCTCTCTGTCGCTCGTCTACAACTTGCCAGGCACTATCCTTGCCCACGGGGACCCCGCGGAGGAGAAAGGTCTAGCCTCTGGGGAGCTAGAGCTGACAGCACCTCAAGTCCCTTAGCCCGCCCCGCCAGAGGGAGCCCAAAGGGGGCGGGGCTCTGGGAGGTTCGGAGAGCGTAGGGTCCACAGAGGGCGGGGCACGACGTACTGGAGGGATTCTGATAGGCTCCAACCAGAAAGGTTGACCAGCGTCAGGCCCCGCCCCTCTGGAACCAGGTAGCAGAATCCCGAGACTGCAGGGCTTCGCGGCTCAGGAGGCCGAAGCGGCGGGCCGGAGATCCGCAGGTGAGTGCCGCGGGCTGGGCCCTCTGGGTGGGGGTGAAGGTTCCCGCCCTGGGCCTACTGCCTTTGGCGGCCAGAGGCGGCAACCCAGGCCCGGTAGGAGTCCGGAGCCTGGTCTCGGCCTGGGGTCTGGTGCTTTCTCTCTTCCTGGGCGTCCTGGAGCGGGTACTGCCTCTCTTTGGCCCCAGCCCGGAGGAGGGCCTCCCTTGGGCCTTCGGGGCGCTCAGCACTGCAGAGAGGGTGAGGTCTGATGTCCCAGACACCTTGTTTAGTATTTCTGTAAGAAGAAGGGAAGTGATGGCTGGGGGAGGGAGTGTGGTTAGTGAAAGCCCTTTGGGGATCCACGCCCAGGGTTTTAGGCTGCAGGGCTAGACAGCAGTAGTGACTCCAGTGCTTTTCTAACGTTTTTTAGTTTCCAAAGCCCAACATACAAAGCTGGTAGAAGCAGAGCAGATCTGGCCAGGTCCTGACACGCTGAGTGCAGAGCAATGTTGTGGAAGACAGGTAACTTACCTGGAAGAGGGTGAATTTGGGAGGGTAGGTGACCAGCTGGGGGTGGGAGCTACCTGGAGGGAGTCCAGTTCTCTGGGTCTGGGCCTCCTCCCCTGATGTGGGTATGTGGGGAGACATGTTCCTCTTATTCTGGGCAGGGATAGAAGGAAATGCTTCCCACTGAGGAATTGGTTCCCCTCTAAAAAGGTCTGTTTCTCATTTCCTTTTCCCCAAAGAACAGAGGCCTTATCTTATGTGATATCAACATGTGCTGTAAAGTCAGTGCATTAACCCCATCGTACAGATAAGGAAACTGAGGCCTGAGAGGAAAAGGGCTCACCCCGGTGAGCTGGCTGGGTGCAGATCCCACATGGCTGATCTCTTTAGCCTTCTGAGGCCTCTTGGAGGTCTGTGGTGGAGAGCAAAGCTCCTGGATAGGACTCAGGAGACCTGGAGTCTGGCCACCGTGTACTGTCAAGTTCTGTGTGAGGGAGCTGGTCTGGGTATAGAAAGGATATGACTTCAGTTGTTAGTTTTTGCTAATTCTCGCACTGCTGTGGCAACAACAGCAAGTGGGGACCCAGGCCGCAAACACATTGACCTACTCCAGGCACCATCAGCTCGCTGCATGCAGGAGCCAGCAGCTGCAGGAAGAGTCAATCCCGCCCCAAGCCCAGGAGTTGCTCCTCTCATGTGTAGGCAGGGAGCCTCTGCTGGGCTGAGCAGCATGTGGAGGGGTTTGGGTGAAGGCCAGGGCTATGGGAGCCACTCACAGTCATCCCCCAACCCTCCTACAGTGCTCTTACTGGCCCTGGTGGACCCGGTGCTGGTGCTGGAGAATGGGCTCCTGCGGAAGCCACCCATGGGCTGGCTGGCCTGGGAACGCTTCCGCTGCAACATTAACTGTGATGAGGACCCAAAGAACTGCATCAGGTAAGTAAGGTCCGCACTACCTGACAAGCTGTGCCCAAGGCCCTGCGGAGTGGCGGCAGGGAGGCAAGGGTCATCGAGATAAGAGAGCAGATCAGCCCCCCCTCCCATAACCCATCCCAGAGAGACTGCAGCCAGAGGTGACTTTTGGGACATCTGACACTCAGCCTCGTGACATGCTTGGGGCCTCTGTGGGGCCTGTGAGGCCTGTGGGGCAGGTACCTTGTAGTGGACCTAGTCCCTGAGATAATTGAAAGGAGATAACTGTTAAGGCCAGGCCAGACCTCACAGTGCTTCTCCTGGCTCAGTCCTGTCCCTTGGTCTGAGGACCAGATCATTCCTTTCAATTTCACCCTGCTTAGGGCTCCTGACACATCCCCGTTGCCATTTACAGTTGTTACCTGGCTTAGTCTGCAGCTGGCCGCAAGGTCAGGGTTCTTATAGCCTGGATTCACACTCAGAGCATCTGAGAAGCTCTGAGGAAGGTGCTGAGGACAAGGAACATGCTAGGCCACTGAGCTGCTTCATCTCCTGCCCCTCTTGCCAGTGAGCGGCTGTTCATGGAGATGGCTGACCGGCTGGCACAGGATGGATGGCGGGACCTGGGCTACACATACCTTAACATCGATGACTGCTGGATTGGCGGGCGTGATGCCCAAGGCTACCTGGTGCCTGATCCCAAGCGCTTCCCCAATGGCATTGCCTTCCTGGCTGACTATGTAAGCCCCACCCCAGCCCTGCCCCTTGGCCTGGGGGCTAGATCCTTCTTTCCACTTCATCCTGCTTAGTGCTCCATTTCCACAATCCCTGTTGGAGAACTCAGTCTGGTGGGGGAAACAAATAAACAGCTAGTTTTGACCCATGGTGGTGAGTGAGAACCAGGAACGGGCATCTGATCCAGTCTGGGATTTCAGGAAGTTTCTCTAGAAGAGGAGGCAATTCTTGAGCTGATACCAGAGCCCAGGCATTTAAGGCAGAGGGGATGGCAGAAGCAAAGGCCTAGAGGCAAGAAACAGCTAATGGGAGTGTATGTGTTGGAGGGGGAGGACCATAGTTGGCAGAGACTGTGCCAGCAAGTGGAGCCCTTTCCTTTGGGCATCGGGGCGCCATTGAAGGTTTTAAAGGGGACTGGCCAGATGTGCCTATGAGGCAGCTCCCTGAGGGTCCTGCCTGAGCCACCTGGTCCTTGACTCCCCCTATAGGTTCACTCCTTGGGCCTGCAGCTGGGCATCTATGAGGACATAGGCAACTTCACCTGCATGGGTTACCCAGGCACCACGCTAGACAAGATAATCCAGGATGCTCAAACCTTTGCCAAGTGGAAGGTGGACATGCTGAAGCTGGATGGCTGCTTCTCGACCCGGCAGGAACGGGCCAAGGGTGAGTCCCATAGCTGGCTGGGGGCCATCAGGTAGACGGGGAGGGATGGCCATGGAAGGGCCCCCAATCTGAGCCTGTCTGTCTGTCTGGATCCTAGGAAGTAGTGTTTTCCAATTCCTCTCACCCAGGGGCTGGAGGATCTTGGCTCCCAGGCTCCCTAAAGATGGGTTGGCACCACGCCCTACCTAGGAAGGGTTTGCGGCATTGGGTATGGGGGAAGCACCTCTGTTGAGCCTCAGTTTCCTCACATGTGGTGGGAGAAGGTGTGAGCTGAGGCCCAGGCTGCCTCCTGTACCTCCTTGGTCCTAAAATGGAAGGGCTGGCATTCTCCAGGGTACCCCTTGATGGCTGCTGCCCTGAATGCCACAGGCCGCCCCATCGCCTTCTCCTGCAGCTGGCCAGCCTACGAAGGGGGCCTCCCGCCCAAGGTAAGCCTTTCTGTGCGCCGACCTGGCAGTGTTCCCCACACCTGGCTCCTCGCCTCCTGTGCAGTCAGGGCTGCTCTCAGCGTTGCCCACGTGCTGATTTGTAGGTCTAGAGAGAGGCTCCTGACCGCCCCAGAGGGGGCCTCAGCCAGTGGGCTGAAGGCATGGGAACCACATGTGATGTGTCCACAGACGGCACCCATCAAGTGGTCAGAATGTAGGTTGTACTGAGTGGGCTAGGAGATCCAGAGGCTGGTGCGGATAGGCAGATGGGGCCGAGTCTCTGCAGGGCCTTGTGGGCACTTCACCAGGGGCCCCTCAGCACCTAGGACACTAGAAAGGGTGGGATCAGACTGGCAGAGGGTGGGACTCTCACTGTGACAACACAAGGTGGGTGTCCCACAGGGATGTTGTTGGTACACTAGCTTGGGCTTGTACCCTGGGTTTGACCCCAGCTGGCATGGGAGGGCAGGGCAGGCTTGTGGCACCAGCACCCCAGAGCCAAGGCCTGGGCAGTCCCAGAGCAGGGCCACTCTCTCCAAGGCCTTCCCATCCTGAAAAAGCTAGGGCTCTCCTCTCCCCTTCCCTGCCCTGTGTCTCCTGCTGAGCCTCCCCAGCGCCTGTGGGGCCTCCAGGCAGCAGAGTGTGACTCTGGTGCTGGACTCTGCTCCTCTGACATGCAGGTGGACTACAGTCTGCTGGCAAAAATCTGTAACCTCTGGCGCAACTATGATGACATCCAGGACTCCTGGACGAGTGTGCTTTCCATCCTGGACTGGTTTGTGGCTCATCAGGACATACTACAGCCAGTGGCAGGCCCTGGACACTGGAATGACCCAGACATGGTACCAACAAGGAGGGGGATGTCCCAAGACCCACCATCCATGATGGACCTGCCCCCACTGCCCTGAGCCCTCTCACTGGTCGCTCACTGCCAGGTTCTACATCAATGTCTCTGAAATGTGTCCTTGAACCAGGTGCATTAGACTCTCCTTGGAGCTTTCTCACAATTCTGTTCCCGGGGCCCCACCCCCACCTTTCAAATCAGAATGTTGGGGGAGGGCTGGGAATGCCCATTGTTGACAATCTTCCCAGGCAATTCTGATGCTTAAAACTTGAGAACTTGGTCTGTAGTGACTCTTATGTGAGACACTCTTCCTCTGCAGGGTGAAAAACTACCATCCCACACTTTCTGTCCGTTCCCTGCCTAGCCTGCCCTCACCCAGGCTGCCTCTGACCCTTCCTTCAATGCCCTGTACCCTGTCACCCTCCTGCAGAGTCGCCACCTCACTCACAGCCCTGGTGACATGATATCTTTACAATTTGTCCGATAGTTTTATAGCTATCTCTTCATTCAGTCAAGCATTTCCTATAGTGATGATTATAATAAATACTCAGCCAAATGGTGGGGCACCTGGAGAAACAGAAACCGGCCCGCCTTAGCGTTCTAGCTCCAGCTCCGCCATGTACCTTAGGCGAGTGACTTAATTTTTTCTGTTGCCTCAGTTTTGCCAATAATAGTAGCTACTTTTTTTTTTTTTAATCCTTACCCGAGGATACTTTTCCATTTATCATCAGAGTGGAGGGAGGGAGGGAGGGAGAGAGGAAGAGAGAGAGAAAAACAACAATGTGAGAGAGACACATTGACTGGTTGCCTCCCACACAACCCCAACCAGGGTTGGGTACAAACCACAATCGAGGCCCGTTACCTTGACCAAAATTGAACCTGCGACTCACTGTTCTGCGGGCCGACGCTCTAACTGCTGAGCCAAACCGGCCAGGGCCCGGGTGTGTTTCTTGACTTGGGTGTTTCAGTTTACGGATGCTTTTGGCAACAGGATCCCATTGGATCATCAGAACAACCTGTGGCACAACCAGCGCCCCATTTTTCAGTGAAATAAAAAGCTGAGGCTCATAGAAAATGACTCGACTCATGCCAAGGCCACACTGCTGGGAAATGGTGTCTTTCAAACCAGTGGCCGTCCTTCCCATCTCGGTTTTCTCTTGCCTTGGCTACAAGCTTGGGGTTGGTGCCTGTGCCCTCCTCCCTGAAGAGGGCAGGGCTGACCGCTTCTCTCCTCTGCCCCTAGCTGCTCATTGGGAACTTCGGCCTCAGTTTCGAGCAAGCCCGGGCCCAGATGGCCCTGTGGACAGTGCTGGCGGCCCCCCTCTTCATGTCCACAGACCTGCGTACCATCTCTGCCCAGAACGTGGACATTCTGCAGAATCCACTCATGATAAAAATCAACCAGGATCCCTTAGGCATTCAGGGACGCAGGATTCTCAAGGTACTAGGTATGGGGGAGGAAGGGGAAGCTGAGGAACTAGGCCCCCCTGAGGAAAGGCTGCAAGGCTGGTTGCATTAGGTTGAAGACTACTGGGAGCTACACCAGCTGCCCCCGACTTCCCTGGGCGAAAGCAGGGCCAGAGCAGGACAGCTCATGGGATTTGGGGGAGGCAGCTGTCGCCACACAGTACACAGGGAACATGAGGCCCTCAGTTTGGAAGTATAAGATGTCTGGCAGAGAACTGGGGCTTCCCTACAGTGTCTAGGAGGGTTTTTTTGAGCCAAGGAATACGGCTATTACTCGTACTGGCGTCTACTATTTGTTGATCAGCTACTGTGTGCTGGGCATTCTAGACACATTTTCTCAGAAGGTCGATGCTCCTTCCCTGTTTTACAAATGAGGAAACAGACTTGAAGAGTCTAAGTAACTTTAGCCCAAGGCCCCACAATTGGTAAATAGTAAACAGGATTGACGCTGGCAGTGTAACCCCGAAGTCTGTGCTTTTAGCACAGATCCTTCCCTCTCCAGTAAAAAGAAATCTCCACACCGGTAGAATGCACCTGCAGAACTGGTGAGGCCCAGAGGAAAACGGATCCCTGCCAGGCGAGGGACCCTGTGGGATGGGGTTCACACCCCTGGCTGCTCAGGGCAGAGGGCATCGTTCCTGCTGGCCAGGGCCCTCCACTCCAGTGCCGCAGCGGTCCACGTCTGTCCCTCCCACCATCCTATGAGCTCTGAGGCAGGACCTCATGCAGCATTACCTCTGTGTCCTGGCATGAGGCCTGGCACACAGCAAGTATTGGGGAGCATCTGCTGAGTCAGGGAAGGAAGGAAAGTAGAGTTAGATAAGTTGGGGTACTGGAGGGCTGTGGTATCACTGCCCCCAAGCTTTTGCATGACATAGAGCCTGTGGGCTGGGGGGACCCAGGGCTCAAGGGAGGGCCAGGAAGGGCGCTTCAGGGCCTGCCTGAGCAGGGACTCTAACCAGTAACCCCGCCATCTTCTGTGCTCAGGAAAAATCCCTCATTGAAGTGTTCCTGCGGCCCCTGATCAATGATGCCTTCGCCTTAGTCTTCTTCAGCCGCAGGACAGATATGCCTTATCGCTTCCATTCCTCCCTTGCCCGGCTCAACATCACGTGTTCCGGCTTGTATGAGGTGAGTGCCCTGCAGGTAGCGAGTGCCTTCGTTTCCCTGGGAGGGCATTGCTGGGGGTGGTCCTCACTCATCCAGGGCCTCCCCTAAGCCAGGGCCTTGGGCCTGTGGCAGGTGCCCACGGGGCAGCTGCAGGCACTGAGGGCCATGGCCGGCACTGCTCTCTGCACTGGTGTCTTGGAGCTTTGCAGACAGAACTGCTGTGTATCGAGGAGTCCTGTTACCTAATGCTCCTCCCCTCACTGGCCAGCCCGTGCTGGCACGGCCCTCAGGTTCTCTGTGGCCTAGGGCGTTCACCACTCCTGTGCTTGGGCACCTGCTGGCTGTGCCGGTGGAGAGGTGACAGGAGATTCACGGCTCCCACTTCTGCAGTGCACACGAGGCCCAGCACAGACGGGCCAGAGTCCAAACTTCTGCGTCCTCTGAGCGGGTCTCTGCATGGCCATTCTCGTGGTGGCACTGGGTATGTCCCTCCCCACTGCAGGCCCAGGATGTCTACACGGGTGCTGTCATCAGTGGCCTCCAGCCTGAAACCATCTTCACAGTGATCGTCAACCCTTCGGGTGTGGTGATGTGGTACCTCTATCCTATCAAGAAGCCGGGGATATCCCAGCAATGAGAAGCTAAGACATGTGGCAGCACCACTGAACCCAGACCATGGAGCCTTGGCATGCCAAGGGCCAGGAGGTGAGGTTCTCCGCTGCCCAGGCTCGCTCAGTGACTGACCCCATCAGACCCAAAGTGCAGTCTCAGAGCCAGGTTCCGCCCAAGTGTGAACCCTCCTGGAAACGTGTCTTGGGCAGTTTCCTGTGGCCGCCTGGCCTCTTACCTCGTCTGCACGGCCCCGCAGACGTTGCTGGACAACTCAGCCAGCCTCCTCATCGGGACGAAGTCTCTGAACTTTTGTTCATTCTGAAATCAAGATGTGAGAATTTTCTTATAATTAGGAATGGAGATGGGACTTCTTGTCAGGAACTTACCTGAGTCGTGTGATTGGCTTTCCTACCCGGAGGAGGCCTTGCAGACTGACATTACTGGGGAGTGACCTTGGCTCCCTCAGGTCTCCAATAAAGCTGCTCAAATAGTTGTAACATGGACCTGGGGCTATGGGCACCTTCAGTTAAGGACTCTGGGTGTCAGTACACAGGGAGGGTGCTGGTTTTAAATCACACCTCACATGGAAGATGTTTGGCATCTTCTGACCCCTCATTCTCCAAAGTGACCTGCAGATTTTACTTCCAGACAGTCCAGACTTGCCTCACACCGGGGGGCTATCCCTGCTGTGCCCAACAGAGTGGAGGTGGTGTGACCACAGTGAGGCGGAGCAGCAGTGGTCCAGGCCCATTGTCTTGGGCATCCCTTCCCCACCGCATCCGGATGTTCCGTGCTCTGCTGGCCATGGCCCCACTCTCACCAGCCCCTTTGCTGCACATTGAAAGGCTTGATCTGGCCCTGGCTGGTTTGGCTCAGCGGTTAGAGCCTCAGCCCGCAGACCAGAGAGTCCTGGGTTTGGTTCCCACTAAGGGCATGTACCTCAGTCGTGGTGTCCGGGATGTGTCTCTCTCACAATAATGTTTCTCTCTCTCTCTCTCTCTCTCTTCCTCCCTCTCTCCCTCCTGCTCTATCTGAAAATAAATGCAAAAATGTCCTCGGGGGAGGATTTTTAAAAAAAGGCCTATCTGCTAAAGAACTTTGCACTGTTTTAGGTATCTTTTGGCTCCTCCCCCTTTTCTGATAGGGCTTCATTCAGGGGCTCTCAGGGTTTGGGTAGGGCTAAGTGGGGACAGCTCTACCTTTCTCCCACAGGGCCCCACAGCTTGTCCTCTGCCCTGCAGTGCCCCCTGACCCTTCTCCTAGTTTCTCCTCTCCTAACCTGAACGCAAAAGAGATTCAAATCCCACAGCTGTGTCCAAAGACAAATCCAGGGACTCTTCATGTTAATTTTCTTTCTTTCTTTCTTTCTTTCTTTCTTTCTTTCTTTCTTTCTTTCTTTCTTTCTTTCTTTCTTTCTCTCTCTTTCTCTCTTTCTCTCTTTCTCTCTCTTTCTCTCTTTCTCTCTTTCTCTCTTTCTCTCTTCTTTCTTTTTAAATCTAGGCCAGCACATGCCCCTCCCTGTCGCTAACTCCTCAAATTTTTTTCTTTATTGATTTTAGAGAGAGAGGAAGGGAAAGGGAGAGAGAGATAGAAACATCAATGAGTGAGAACATCGACTGGCCGCCTCCTGCATGCCCCCCACTGGGGATCGGGCCCACAACCTGGGCATGTGCCCTGACTGGGAATCGAACTGGCAACCTCTTGGTGCATGGGTCAGTGCTCAACCACTAAGCCACACTGGCCAGGCTCTTTGTGTTTTCTTTTTTTTTTTCATCCTAACCCGAGGACATTTTTCCATTTTTTGTTCAGGTAGAGTGGGAGGGAGAGAGAGGAACAGAGAGAGAGAGAAACATCGATGTGAAAGGAACACATCGAGTGGCTGCCACCCACACAACCGACCAGGGCCGGGGACAAACTGCAACCGAGGTACGCGCCCTTAGCGGGAACCGAACCCGGGTCTCTCAGGACCGCAGGCTGACGCTCTAACCACTGAGCCAAACCAGCCAGGGCGGCTCTTTGTGTTTTAAAACATGTTTCCTGCTCCTCATGGCACGCTCTTCACTGCCTTCCTTTGGATCCTGTTTCCTAAGCTCTCTTCCTTAGTTGAAACAGGGCCCGTCTCCCCGATGGTCCTTGCCCCCACTCGGAAAGCTGGCCGCAGAGCAGGCTAGGTAGGTTCTCCTTAGGCTCTGGATGTGGGAGCACCCAGTGCCCCAGGCTTTGCACTACCCTGCCTGTGGGAACTCTTCTGGTGGATCTTCCACACTCCCTCCCTGAGGGTTTGAGGTTCTTGTATTTACAGTATGGTGTAAAGTGCACATTTTACAATATCATTTGAAACGACCGGACTGGAGCTTTGCTGATGAGTCTAGAGTCATCAGAGAAAGCTGCCTTTCCCCGCTTGTAGTCTGGAGGCTGTGGTCACTCAGGAGGACAGAATCCTACCTCATCCCAGGCCTCTGCCCCTGGAGGGCTGCCACCCTGGGTATACCTCCTGCCTGGGTCTTTCTCATGGAATGACCTCGGGTGGGAATACTTTTTTTGTCAGCCCCAGGAAAGAAGTCTTTCACACCATCCTGGGATCGGGTGGAGTATAGTGGTTGAGACTATGGTCTTGGGAGTTGGGGTTAGGGATCAGCCTGGACTTAATCAGTCAATACTTTTGCGTTCCAGACCCAGAGATGGTTACATTTCTTTACCTGCTGTATAACTTGTCCTTTTATCCTGGGGGTGCCTGATTAATTCTCTCTTTAGCCTTAATTCTCTATTTTTAAAAAAACTTTTTTTCTTTCCTTATTTTTAGAGAGAGAGAAAAAAACGGGGAGAGAGAGATAGAAACATCAATGAGAGAGAACATTGGCTGCTTCCTGCATGCCCCCCACCGAGGATTGGGGCCACAACCTGGGCGTGTGCCTTGACCGGGAATCGAACCAGCAGCCTCTTGGTGCGTGGTTGACACTCAGCCACTGAGCCACACCGGCTGGGCTAGCCTTAATTCTCTCAACACACATCCTGCCAAATCTTCCAGGACAGTTTCACTCCATTCTACCCAAGGCCAGTGAGAGACTCAATTCTATTTTTTTTCTCAGTTCAAGGAAGCCTATTTGGACCCAAGAGCACCCTTTTTCCTTTTAAACTTTTTATTATACAAATTTTCAAACACAAATATAAAATGGTACAGTAAACCTCCACGTACCCATCACCCAGCTGCAACAACCATCAACATGTGCCATTGTTTTGTATCTGTCTTCCCACACATACATTTTTTGCATGGGAGCTGGAGTATTTGAAAGCAAATCAAAGAAAACGCTGAACATCACTGTGCAGCTCAAACAGATATGGCCTTTAAAAATATATGTGACTGTAAGCAATTTTTCTATCCAACAAAATATAATTTTTAATAATCTAATATCCAATCTGTGTTCAGTTTCTGCCAATCGTCTCAAAAGTATCTTTCTATAATTTGCCTCAAAATCCAAGCAAGGGATCAACAAAAATGGTCTAGTAAGAACCACCAAAAGTTTGTTTCCTCCATAAAAGCAATAAACAACTTGCCATATATTATCAGAATCAACTTTCACAGAATTCTGGAAATTAACCAAAGACCTGCAGCAACCCAGAGAGCATTCAGTCAAGAAAGGTAGTGGAGAGACTTCCGGTCAAGAAGGCGGGTAGGTAAACGTGGTATCCGTCCTCCCACAACCACATCAAAGTTACAGCTAAACTACAGAACAATCATCATTCAAAACTGCCTGAAATCAAGCTGAATGGAAGTCATACGACTACGGAATTAAAGCAGCAGCCGCATCGAGACTGATAGGAGGGCGGAGGGGACGGGCTGGTCCCACACCCACGTGTGGCGGATAAAAATCAGGAGGACACCTCGGCTGGGAAGGTCCTCCCTGAGGACTGAGGGGTCCCTGTCCCACACCAGGTGCCCCGCTCAGGGTTCCAGTGCCAGGAAGAGAATCCCCATCACTTCTGGCTGGAAAAACCAGCGGGAACTGAGGCTCAGCGAGGCTGAGGCGGCTGGAGCCCCAGGCAGCTCCTTAAAGGGCCCGCACTCCGACTTACAGACTCACTCCCTCTACACTCGGAGGGGAAGCAGCTCGAGGGGCGCCAGAGACATACAGGGAAGAACTGAGCTGTTTGGCATTGCATCGAGGGCTGGAGAGGGGGCTTTCTCCGGGACAAACGTGCTGTTGGACTCCTTTGTTCCTTTGGTGAGCCCTTCCCTGGGGCGGCAGACAGCCAGCATATCTGGGACTCCAGCAACCTGGCTTACACTGGTAGCCCCTTCCTGGTGATTCCCTGAGGCCCCGCCCCACCCAACTTTCAGGCCCATCCGAGCTGTTGCCAGTTGCTTAACTATAGGATTGGCCTGTCTTGGATCCCGCTTCAGGTTTTCCTGAATTATTTCAAACAAGCAGCATCTGGTCTCAGCTAGCCCCATACCTCTCGTTAAGTAATACATAAAAACAAACACAGGGAGGCAGCCAAAATGAGGAGACAAAGAAACAGGTCCCAAATGAAAGAACAGAACAAAACCCCAGGAAAAGAACTAAGTGAAATGCTGAGTTCAAAATACTGCTTATAAGGGTTATTAGAGTAGGTAAAGCCAAGAAGCAAACCATCAACTTGGAATATAAGGAAGCAAAAAACACCCAATCAGAACAGCAAAAAGAGAAAAGAATCCAAAAAAATGAGGATAGTGTAAGGAGCCTCTGGGACAACTTCAAGCGTGCCAACATTCGCATCTTGGGGGTGCCAGAAGGAGATGAGAGAGAACAAGAAATCGAAAACCTGTTTGAAACAATAATGACAGAAAACTTCCCTAACTTGGTGAAGGAAACAGACATACACGTCCAGGAAGCACAGAGTCTCAAGCAAGATGAACCCCAAGAGGTGCACACCAAGACACATCATCATCAAAATGCAAAAGGTTCAAGACAAAGAGAGAATCTTAAAATCTGCAAGAGAAAAGCAGTTAGTTACCTACAAGGGAGTTCCCATTAGACTGTCAGCTGATATCTCAAAAGAAACTTTGCAGGCCAGAAGGGAGTGGCAAGAAATATTCGGAGTGATGAAAACCAAGAACCTACAACCAAGATTACTCTATCCTGCAAAGCTGTCATTTAGAATCGATGGCCATATAAAGACTTTCCCAGACAAGGAAAAGCTAAAGGAGTTCATCACCACCAAACCATTATTATATGAAATGTTGAAGGGTCTTCTTGAAGAAAAAGATAAAAAATATGAACAAACAAAATGGCAATGAATTCATAGCTATCAACAATTGAATCTACAAACAAAATGAACAGGCAGAACAGAAACATTCTCATAGATACAGAGGACATTTTGTTGGTTGCCAGATGGGAGGAGGGTTAGGGGAATGGGTGAAAAAGGTGAAGGGATTAAGAAGTACAAATTGGTTGCTAGACTGACAAATCTCAAAGGGAAGAGGGTCGGAAGGGGGGGGAGAAATAAACCAAAGAACTATGTGCATATATGCATAACCAATAGACACAGACAACAGTGTGGGAAAAGGCAGGAGGGGGGCGGGGGTGGGGGGAGGGGGTCGATGGGGGAAAAATGAGGAACATCTGTAATACATTCAACAATAAAGATTTAAAAAAGAGAAAAAAAATATAGTAGTAGAATTTTGGTAAGAACAGCAAGCTTTGTAGTGTTTTATCTTCCCCTAGCATCACATTCTAAATCAGCTTTTAAGATGTTCATAGAACTAAAGGAAACCATGTCTAAAAAACTAAAGAAAAGAATAAGAATGATGTCTCACCAAATAGAGTATAAGACAGAAATTACAGAAAGGAACCAAATAGAAATTCTAGAA